GTGGCTACGGGCACGTTCGTTTTTGCGGATCTGAGAAAACGGTCGCTTCCCGTATGGGCAAGACTTAAGGGGAGGAAATTAATTCATAAGTTTAAAATAACTGCGTATGCAGCAGGGAGCTTGAACATGTCGTTGGCGGTTTCTGTACGAGAACCATCCACCCAGGCTTGCGGAGGCAGAATTGTTATGTGATTAGTTTTACACTCTGGCTTTTTCTTTTTTCTTTTTTTTTTTTTTGTTTCCTACAGGTTGGGAATGGGTTAAATGGGATGAATTTCCTCCAGCAGATCAACTCTTCTGGGGCTTACGCTGTTTGAGAGAGCAAGGTTACAATCCCTTTACAGAAGAGCTCGATCACCTAAAGGGGTACACGGGAAGTCACCAGCTAGTGTAAAAGCCGATTGTACGTTATGTAACAAACTAAAGGACAGACCTGCTTTTTTGGTACACAAGAGAAAAGGATGTTAAAATACTACCCTTCCTAAAGCCAAAAATATGCCAAATGTTTCAGTGCTTTTACTGTATTTCACATGACAGTTGTCTCATTCCAGAGCTCTTTCTAGCTCTAGTGTGTACCAATTAATGTTTTCTTTTATAGAAAACTCACAGTGTTTTATCTGGTTAGTCTTTATATAGATGAATAATAGACCTTTGGAAGTCAGAACTAGTCAGAGAAGCTTACTCACTTGGAAACAGTTACAGCATCAGTGCCAAGAGAAACGGATTTGTTTTAGCCACTGTCCTCCCTTCTCTGTAAAACTACTTTGTGTATCATGCTGCTTTCCTCTAATTCTAAATCTTGGACCAAATTTTAAACTTAGCCATGTCTCATAGCTTCAGTTAAGATACTGTCGTGAACAGAAGTCACATTTTCCAGACAATGCCTCATTCTCCTGCAGACAGTTATGTATACTTGGAAATCAGAGTACTACAGACGTGAAAGGGTTGCGGTGGCTTGTGTAGGAAATGAAGATTCTCTGACCCTTCTTGCCACCCACTTTTCATTACAGAGTTCTGTTTTCAGCCTCAGTTACATTAGAATTCATTTGCAGAAGTGTTTCAGATCTCTGCAGCTGATCTTCATTTCTGATCATTTTACTGAACTCTTTAACAGAGAGGTGCCTACAGTGTTCTAGTAGGCTGACACAAACAACATTGTACAACTTAGTCTCATTTACAGGTGTAGCTCTGCCACAGACAGTCATACTTTCTGGCTAAAGAGGGTTGTCGAACAGCACAGCTGGGTGCAATTCTGTATGGCTACTGGGGTTTGACAGAATTGTTAATTATCAGTTTAATGTGACTAAATGATTGAATTGGTAGTGAATGAAAGCACAGAACACAAAGATCTATACAAAAGTAATGAGTTTCAATTTTTTGTTTTTCTAGGATCTGTAACCAAATTTGATTCTTTTCCAGTTGTAGTCATTAGGACATCAGCAATTAATTGTAGGATAAGGATGGATTATGACTTTTAAAAAAATCACTAACTGGCTTTTTTTTCTCTTCAGGGTTCTTTTAAAACACAGTTTTCGTCTGTTTCCTTTAGATATACCCACTGTACAAAATGTTCTGAGATACCTTTAATTTCTTTTAAATAAAATATAAGCACAATGCTTAAAAATTAAAATTGTCTAAAATGATGAATTGACTTGTTCTTAAAAGAAATGAGCTTGAAGGGTTTAAAGCTCTTCCTTGCTTTGCACATGAATTTTTTTAAGTAGAGATGGCTCTTTTTGCTGAGAAGCAGAGTGATACAAAGTGTAAGAATGCTCCTGACAATCGCAAGCCTCCTGCTTAGAATTTGAAGTATTACAGGCAACATCCCTTAGGACAGATATTCTCTCTCTGAAGTGAAGAAGATAATGTTACAAAGCAGTTTTGAAATGGGAAATATCACTGAAAATTCCTTCACTACTGCATCTTTGTAGAAAGCTTTTTTTTTTCTATTCAAAAGTGGAGATTTTCTTCCTGAAAGCAACTTTATGTACACTGAAAATTATTGCATTCAGCTGTCAATGAAAAGCCTGTAGGAACAGTTGACAGATGTCCTGTCCATCTGTTCCAAAGAATAATGAAAAAAAAAAATCAAAATTATTTAGTGCAGTTTTAAATTTTAGAAGGCATCTAGCTCCTGATGGGAAAACAGGTCACTGTAAAATGGTTTGTAATGGGATAAGTATTTTGTTACTGTTAATGGTTATAGACATTCTATCTGTTGTAAATATACAGGTAGTTACTGAATTGAGGTCACAAACAGCATCTCCATATGTCAGGGTTTCTGTACCCTTTCTAAGTGGACTGATTAAATGACTACAGTGCATTACTACAACCAGCTGTCAGCAATCCCTGACTTAAATAACTTGTTTTGTAAGTAGTGTTTCCGCCCCCCCAAAAAAAAAAATTTGATTCTCAGTAGTTTTTAGCTGCTAAGATTTGGTCCTTTCAGTTTAATGTTATGTTTACTTTGATTTTTGGTACTTCGGCTAAATAGGAAAATCTATGTACACATCTAAGCCACTGAATACTAGAACACACAGTTAAAACTTTGTGGTTTGCTATATTGCTTGTTATAGATAGAATTCACCTAAAATGGCATTATAGTTATCCAGCATTGAGAAAAATACTCCTCAACAGTATATGGTTTGCAGCACTTATGTAAAGAACCTGATTTGGATCCATCTTATACCTAGAGGCTGATTTATGTGAAATGAACAGTGGGCAGAGCTGTTGTCTTTCCTGTTTCTTAGATGTAACACATTGGTCCCATTTAATCCTTTTAATAGAGTAGCAAACAACCCAGAAAAAGTTGTCATCATCATTTCCGTTCACTCTTACTCAGGTCTGGAAACAATCACCCACCTCCACAATATGTCAGTTAGTAAATCACATGATATAGCCATGTAAGAGTTTTGGGTAGACTGTGCATTACACTTTTCATAGCTACTAATTATCTCTGTGCTTCATTCCAAGAAAAGAATGTCCTTATAAATGAGAAGGCAAAAGAGACTAGTAAGCTGTGGCTCTTTCATAAGATGTGTTGAGAGGGGTGTTTAGGGAAAAAAATACTAATCCCATGGTACAAAGCCGTAAGAAACCGCATTTTGTAATACTGTGTACGATTCTGATCATGCACTTTTAAGAAAAAACAATGTGAACTAGAACAGGGATAGGTAAGGTTAACTAGGGTGATTGAGACAGGGCAGGTGTACTGGGATTAACATAAATTAAAGAGGAAATGGTTGTCTCGAGACATTGGGGGTAAACATCAAAAAGGAAAAGATGATACTGAAAAAGGTTAAAATATGTATGTACATGAATTAACTTTAGACTGCAAAATAGAGGTGAAATTTTAATAACTCTGAAAATACTTCCAAAAGGAAGTATCCAAAACTTCAGTTGAGACAAAACCAAATTCCCTGTTTCTCTTAAAACAAAAACCACTGCCCCGTATTATGTGACTGAACCTAATTGAAGAGGCCCTTTTCATTTCTACATCCTTATGGGATTTGTACATGTATTGGTCAGATGTGACAGCTTTACTGACAGCAATATTTGAAAAATTATCTGAGCAAATGAGGAAGTACCTGATTTAGCACTTCCTGCGAGGAATCTACAAAATGGAAAAAAGTGGAGACAATTGTCATCTGTGCTTCAGGAAGCCTTGCTGCAGGGCAGAAACCTGAAACTGCCACAAGCAACAGTTCACATATTAGTTTTCTGATTTGATCAGAGGGTTACTTAAGAGAAAAGCAGCTGTCATAAAATGACTCCTTAAGCAAAACAGAACAAGGAAAGGAAAGCCAAGGGAAGTGTGTTTGGAAAGATGAAAGAACATTGTAGCTGAGGCAGGAAATGCAACTGCTGAAGTAAACAAATTAGCAGGTTCAAAGAACTGAAAAAATTATAGATGACAAGAATAAAGAATCTGTGAGTGCTCTGAACTGAAAGGAGCTGAACCTGCAGCATGCCCCAAAGCATGTCATCTCCAGGGTTGCAGGATGCTTAACCAAAGCATTGGTGAAGCCTTGCAAATGGGCACTCCATGTCACTGCCTCAGGATCTGCCCGGTTATGTGTGTACCTGATAAAGCTCAGCTGAAAAGGACAGACTTTCAGTTCCTGACTGCTGAGGTGCTTCTCATATAAACTTGGCATTTTGCAAAGGGGAAAACAGGAGTACAAACTTCCTGAAACTTGATCAGAATTCAGCCACATACTGGGATAAGATGTGGCGAGTATTGAAGTTACACAATAACTCATCTAAAAATTTAAGTTTGCAAAATGAAACAAAGTTACATCAAAACTGAGTTTATTTATGACAAATCACTCATTATATATTACAATAATTACAAACTTTTTTTTTTACACCTTATTGCCATGTTTCTGTTCTCGGTACACAGATGATCAAGAACACGGATTTAGGCAGTAACAAAAAAAGATGTTAAAATTACAAATTTCCTGTCTCATTTCTGTGCCATAGAAAAGGCTATCATGAAAAAGAGTAAAGTTACTAACAAACATACAAGGGGATTCCCCTTACACATTTTTTCCCAGGAAGGTTTATCATCCAATGTATAGTAAATGTATATATACACACACACACCCCCCTCTTGCAAACATACACATTTACATAATCACTGGAAGTTTGACATCTCTCTTCCAGCAGAAAGCTCCCAGTCATTTTACTTGAACAGCTAATAGAAAAAAAAAAATTCTCAAGTCCAGGGTTTTAATTTAGTCACCCTATTTCTGAGCCAGCTGTTATCTTCTCCCTACATAGGGCCACCAGCATTAACAAAAGGGTATTGCAGTTTGTGACGAACAGCATCCAACCTACCTTCACCACAGGAAAGGTCTGCTAGGGATACTGTCCCCCTTGTACCTAGTCTGAGTCACTGCTGCTGCTCGAGGAGTCTGTTGACATAACTTCTACATCATCTTCATTCTCTTTATTGTGTCCTGGAGGCTCCAACATGAAGTCATTACTATGATTAGGAGGTAGCATGTTCATTGACATATCACTTGACTGCCAAGGATACTGAGGAGCGAGCACATCTGAAAAAAAAACAGCATAATCAATCAACTATCAGCTTTGTTTACTGACAAATGCAACAAGGCACTTCAACCAGAACTCCAATTTAAAATTAAAACAAATCTTAAAATCCTTCCTGAATTTCAGACACATGAAACCCTCCAACAACAGCTGGAAAACATCTAACAATGGAGCTGTTCTAGCACTGTAAAAGCGTACTCTGCCAGAGAGGCCCACTTATGCAGGTGGCTCTTGATCTCTCATCACTCCACTTCAAAACAGTATATATTCATACAGAGCTTTTCGCCTTCAAAGCACAGTTTGAACTGACTTAACATCCACAGCCGCTGGCAGTAATGCAAATGGTCACCCCTTGTCAGTATGCAAAAACAGATGAAAACATTAGATCAAAAAAAATACTCAACACAGACCATAGAAATTCAGAGTAAAATGTTTTATCCAAATTTGGCTGAAACACCTTGGTTATAGTTTTCCCAACAGCAAGTTTGGTGCATCAAGGACAAAAGAGAAGAGTGTCCTACTACAACAACAGGGCCACAGACAGAAATACGTGAGAGGGGGGGATGCCCCACTGTGGCCCAACCAGGCCAGCCTCAGTTGCCTCTGACTTCTCCCAGCTCTCATTCATTCTTCTCTTAGCTCTGATTCATTCTTCTCTTCTCCTCCTACTTCCAAAGTCATCCCACACTGTACTCCTTACCAACCTACTCTCCCCTCACAACATTTCCTAGTGTTCCTCTCCTGTCCTTGCCTCCAAATTGGCTCCCAGTTCAAAGCTGCAGTACACATCTCTATGGCATTTCTGCTCCCTTCCTTTTAATTTATGCTCCCTCTGCTGTGCTTCAGTTCTTCTCCACTTATTACCAGGCACTGTAGCTAAATCTATCCCATAGAAGAAACCAGCTATCTCCTGCTTACAGCAAGAATTAAAAATGATTAGGCAGAGTCAGGAAGTGAACAAAAGCCCACCCATGTGGGACTCTGAGCACAGAAAGAGAGGGCACTGTCTAAGCAAGGTGTCATATATGGTAGACTTACTCACTGAGGTGTGACCTAACTCAGAAGCATGCAGACTCCACATAGAGTGGCTTCTCATCTTTAAGTCTGCAGACACCTGAGACTCCACATATGAATGACAGCCACAGTCCCCTCACACCTGATGCATTACTTAGCTATGCAAATCTGACCCACCAGCAGATGCAAGGGTGTGACACCCAGCCTTTATGCCAGTTCCGTGCCCGCTTTAGGACAAGCAACATATGATACCACCAGGCGGTCTCATCCCAGCCATAGTGAAGTTAACCAAATTTATTTGAACCAGCTGAGAACGTAAAACAGTGTTTTACATCCTGTGGCCGTGCTTCAACGCTGGAACCAGTCCACTATTAAACCAGGCTGAATGTGTGTGCTAAGCAGCCTTAAAGTTTTGAGGCTACCAAGCAGCCCAGTGGCTGGCTGGCAGATTCAGTATGGACTCAGTAACTGGACATCTCTCTGCAGAAGTCTCTAAAAGGATTAGATCCCATAATCAGCATTCTCAGGACATGTCTCCACACACCAACGGATTCAGGATCCCTACACAAAACATTGGGGCAGTCTCTACTTTCTTTTAAACAAAGCTTTGATGTTTCCCTCTTACCTGACAGTCTAGTAATTAGAGGATTTCCCGTAACACAGGAGACCTAGATTCAATTAACAACTTTACTTGAGTTTAAATCCCACATTTTCCAGCTTCTCAAGGAAAAGTCCAAAAGAGTGGGCTTTCAGTTCTTACAGAGCCAGCACTCAAAAGTAAAAGGAGCAAGTCTGCATCCCCTAAGGCAGAAGAGCCAGCTAGAATGGGCTCTACCAAAACTTATACAAATAAACGTTCAAACTCCACAAGGAAGAATCTCCTCTGACCATATTTGAAAAGAGCGGAAAAGATACATCCTCAGCATTTCCCTGGGGGGTTCCTATGGACAGGTGTCAGGGTCCCGCTCCTTTTCGGCACTCTGACCCATTTTATCCAAGGCCAGAGGTTTAGAAAGCGAGATGATGCAGAACTTCAAGTCACTTCCTAAGAAGTGACAATAGGATCAGATGTATGATCGGAAACACAAAATCCAAGTTTACTATTTCTCCAATGGAGTCACGATACAGGTTTTTTTTAATATAGTCAGTATAATTTTTCAAAACAAGATTTCCATAACACCTGCAAGTGGCTTAATAGACAGGTAACTGTAACAGATCTCCTATGAATTCAAACGAAGAATGATTTCCACAATTTAGTTTAAACATTACGTTAGTAGATTAATGGTGCACAGGTACAGAACTACTGAACTCTTGATTCACTTACAGTAATTTACTGCTAAATTCTACTTCAGCATGAATGAATGAATCCCACTAAAGTCAATGGAAGTGCCCATTTCACTAAGTAATTAAGGGATTAAAGCTCCATTCCTACCCTCAGGGTACTACCTCACCAGCTGTCCTATGCAATGTCTTTTCAATCCAGAACTTCTAAGCAAACAGTCTTGCTATATAGAGCGTAGACTTAAAGGTAGGGGATGACAATAAACCTCTTTTCTTCCAATATACAGCTTTCACAATTCCATACTTTCTGTCAGCACTGCTAAGAAAAGTTTGCTTTGAAAAAGCTTCTAATATGAATCGATACCACTTAATTTACAGCAATTTAAAATAAGGGAATTTAAGGGTATCTAAGTTAAGTTTTGTTTATATTGACTGAGTTGTAGTATCTGCACTATGATTTAGCATGAAATGACAAAAACTCATGCAATTTCTTTTTGTCAACTTCGTTTACTAGATCTTCACTGCCAGGGAACAACAATAGCAATAAATTCCATTATTTTAACTCTGATTTGCCTTTGCTAAGTGAAATGTATAATTGCCATGACTGTACAAGGAATAAAGCAAAAAACCTGAGTTTCTCTTACCTGGCAGTCTGCCCGCTGCAAGTGCATCCCCTGGTAAGTGTCCATTAACTCCATTGGTGGATGGGTTGTTCATCTGACCCAAGAGACCACTCCTCATTTCTAGATCTGTAGGATATGGCCTGCGTGGGTCCCCTTTAAGGAAAAAAGCAAACAAATGTTTTTAAATATTTAACAATTGTCTTGCAGACATTAATTTTTTCTTCAGTGCCTAGTTTCCTGATGAAAAAAAAACAACCCGTACTCTGATTGCTTGGATCAGCAATGAGAATCACACCTGTTTTGTTAAAATCCAAGTCTGTGTCTTTCACTTAGACTTTCTTTGTTAATTCAAAGCAGAAAAAGCACATTAAAAAAAAGAGCCAAACAAACAAAAAACTCACACCACGTTTAGAAGATATCTTTGCTCTCCCTGCTACTTCACAGCTAAACAGCAAGGACAGGAATTGAAAAAAACACATTCTCATTTTGGACAAGGAGGACAGTTCTCAAAATTGAAACCTCACATAATGAAAGCCTTGCTTCTGACTTCACTAACATTCTCTGAAAAGAATATTATAAAGGGCAGGAGGGAACACAAGCAAGCACATGGAAAAGCCTTTAAGATATTTGGTTCTAACTTATAATTGGGGCCAACTTTCAGGGGATAAAAGCAAACAAAGGAGAGCAGAGGCGGCCAGTCAGTTAATGGAAGCATGCAGTTCAATAGCCTTTTGAAGACACACATAAAGTCTACAGGACTTTGGATATCCATTTTTGTTGAAAATACTAGATATCAGTGGAAAACAATGCTACTCTAATAAACCTCAGTGTTTTCACTGTATGAAAGCATTGTAAGACCAGATACTGACCATGCTTTATTATTAAAAAAATAAAAATCTATTATAAATATGACAGTTACCTGGTACCCATGTCAGAGGGGCACAAACAGCATTGCTAGCACTGATCCTATGAGCATATTTAATTATTTCTTCAGATGAAATGGCACCTGGAAGAATGGAAGAAAAGTTACCATATTTTTAAGAGATTGCATCATTCAATTATTTAAGAATATTGGACACTAATATCTAAAAGATTGGGAATGTAATTTTATCAAACATTAAGAGCATGCTTCAAACACAATGACTGCTTAGAGGATTCTATGCAACGACAAACTTGGCAGTGAACTGGTTTTACAGCCACAAGTTCAGCACGCCTTTAATGTCAACGGTTATTCGACCTTGTGAAAAGCACAAACCAATCTCTTAAGCAGTGAACTTGAGAAGCACAATTTGTAAGAAAAATTCAGCACCTGCTTTATTATGGAATTTTCTGTAGTGAAGAAATTCTTTTTGTTTGTTTAGTAATTGTAGAGCATAATGTAGCAGTCTTTCTACATATGTGACTGCATTACAGTAATAGAAATTTTATGAAATTCCTTGATTCTATGACGTTTGCCACAAAAATAACTCATTCTTGCCTTTATTCTGAGGAAATGGTTATAGGTTCATAGAATCATAGAATGGTTTGGGTTGGAAGGGACCTTAAAGATTATCTAGTTCCAAATACCCTGCCATGGGCAGAGACATCTTCCCCTAGATCAAGTTGCTCAAAGCCTCATCCAACCTGGCCTTGAACACTTCCAGGGATGTGACATCCGCAACTTCTCTGGGAAACCTGTTTCAGTGTTTCACCACCCTCATTGTAAAAAATTTCTTCCTTAGATCTAATCGAAATCTACCCTCTTCCATTTTAAATCCATTGCCCCTTGTCCTGTCACTACATGCCCTTGTAAAAAGTCCCTCTCCAGCTTTCTTGTAGGCCCCCTTCAGGTACTGGAAGGCTGCTATAAGATCCCCCTGCAGCCTTCTCTTCTCCAGGCTGAACAGCCCCAACTCTCTCAGCCTGTCTTCATAGGAGAGGTGCTCCAGCCCTCGGATCATCTTCGTGGTCCTCCTCTGGACCCACTCCAACAGCTCCACATCCTTCTTGTGTTTGGGACCCATTCATTGCATAACGAATTCATTTCAAATGAAATGGAAATTTGTTCACACATAAAGCATCCAAAATCTGTGATGGTAGAATTAAAAAAATAAAATAACCCTAACTAGCAACTCTCTTTACAACTGCATTACGTACAATCATGGATGCTCACCTTTTCTTGCCTTTTCAATCGACTTCAGCTTTTCCTTTGCTTGATAAACAGCTGTTGCCTGGTTGTAAAAAAACAACAAACTAACTAAACCAAACCTTCAATGCATCTTTAATTTGTAAACTTCTACATAAAGTCGGTGCTGTGAATAAACCCTTGCATTTAATTGCATTTTAAGAGAGAAACTATTCAGTGAACATTTCAAAATATAGAGAAGTAAAGTAGGTTTCGAAGAAAATTAGCATTATAAAACAAAACTGAACACCATGATAACGAAACAGTATTTGACTACTGAAAAAAAAAACCAAACTAACTACTAAGCTTTTACGAAGTTTTAAGTATTTAAATCTTCTCAAACTAACACACCACCACTTTCTCCTGAACCACCTTTCTCACAAGCAGATGCTCAAAAGGAAACACATCATTATGAACTTACCAGTATGTGCTCGGCTTCTTTTAGTTGTTTCTGCAGCTGCTGAATATCATTATCCCTCTTTTCTACTACCTTTTCTAAAAGCTGCATTTCATGATGGATTTTCCCCTGATCAACTGCCAACTTCATTAGCTCTTGAAACTCTCCATCTCTCTGAATCAGCAGTTCCAGGATCTATTGAACGAGAGTTTTGCAGAACTTTTAATTTAGCTAGAGTAACAACACACCTTCCACTGTGCTGCAAAGAGGAACAACTGACATCGATAGGAGTATTTCTGTTTGCATGAAAAATGAAACAAAATTTCTTCTGTTTGCAGAAACAGCCTATGAAGCATACAACAAATGAATAAACGAAAAAGCAATATGAGGACCAAGAATGCCTTTGTAGTGGGGCCAAAACCTCATCATCACCATTAGCCTGAGTATAGGCAAGGACAAAGGGAGAAAGAAAGGAAGAAATTAGAAGTATTGTGCTTACTCAAATAAATACAGTTCGGAAATTCAGCTTACCTGGCTCTCCTCCCCCGGTTGTGGAAGCTTCTGGTTTCTTGAAATTGCCAAAATTTCAATTAGTTCCCTGAAAGGAAAACTCTGTGTTTGCACAATTTTCCAAGGCATTATTTGTAAATCATGTCAAGTCATCCCAAAATTGTCAGAGTACTGATATAATTACAGACGTATTCATGGACTTGAGTATTTTACAGTTTTATAGTACAGTGTTGGCAGGGATTTCTCAGCTAAGAGTAATTCTGTGAATAGTCTCATGATTGGATCACGTCTTCTTCTTTGTTCTTTGAGCTCATGAAGTGCTTGTCTGTATTTGTACTCATGAAACATGCTAAGTTCCTGCCAAACTACATAAAGCATAAGCAGAAGCTGCGAGAAGAAAGAGCACAATGAAATGCATTCATACCCAACTTCTCTTGCCTTCGTTTGTTGCAAGAGGGCATGGAAGTTGTCTTCACTATCTTACTTCTCTACTTTTCCTCCATTTTTCCCACACTTGGGTTTAAAGCAATTAAGTCTACACTTTCAAACACCTAAAGAGTGTGTTGTGAAACTACTTGTACAACAACAAGTATTTCCACAATGATATATTAGTTGTATATCAAACATAGAAAAAGACAAAAAACCTAGTAATATTCTAGTGCTGTTAGAAGCGCTTCTCAAACAAACCTCTTGATCACGCTTCCAGGTATCCATTTACTTTGCCACCATTCTGAAAAGCCATCAAGAACCTCAGAAAGGACTCAGTAAGCAACAAGACCATGATATAAAAAGGCATTTTCTGTAAATTCAGCAGACTTTTTTGGTTTCCAAGGCTATGGATGGTAGTTGAAAGCTATCTATGCATGAGTAACTGTCTATCTGAAGACACTGTTCTTGGAACAGTACTGATTCTTCGCTTGGTCCAGTGCAAGCAGCTCAATGGGATGAGCTCAGGTACTTTCCAAAACATCTGAAAAAGCCTCTCACCAGTAGAGCTCTAAATAGCATCTTGGTCTATGTCTCTTGGTCACTCCTGAACAGTAAAATGATTTTAAGCAATTAGAGAATAAAGAAACCTGTCATTATCACTTAAGGCTTTATTCTACCTTACCAACACTGAGCAGTAGCAAACAATCTGTTCTAAGTAGGTCAACTACTGCCATCAAAGCTGATGTCATGGAGGGTTGTAATTCTGACCTATGTTAGCTGGATAATGCACAGACACAGATTCAAAACTAAACAAAGGCTACAGATTAGACATGTTGCTTAATTTTGTTAGCTCATCATACCACCAAACCAGTATCATGACTGTGAAAGGCCCATCTCTACAGCACTGCAACACTTTGCTGATCAACAGGAAGATTCACTAAATGCTGTTGAGGGTTGCTCTGGATTCATTATGGTAAAATATTAGTCCCAATATTAAAGAAAAAAAAAAAAAAAAAAGTTTAGATAAGGAGCAAGTCTTTTTTTTTTCTCCCAAAACACATGTTCTCCAGCAACCCATATGTCACAACAAAATCTAAACCTGAAAATAAAACCTAACCAGAAACAAGAGCAACTGACCAATATATTTCCTACTGTCCTGATTTAACCCGACAACTAAGCCCCACACAGCCACTCACTCGCTCCCTCCTGCCAGTGAGATGGGGGTCAGAATCAGAAGAGTAAAAGTGGCAAAACTTATGGGTTCAGATAAAGACAGTTTAGTAAGTAAAACAAAAGCCACACACACACGTAAAGCAAAACAAGGAATTCATCCACTACTTCCCATGAGCAGGCAGGTGTTCAGCCATCTCCAGGTAAGCAGAGTTCCATCACATGTAAATGTTACTTTGGAAGGGGAAGACAAATATCATCACCCCAAACATCCTCCCCTTCCTCTTTCTTCCCCCAGCTTTATATGCTGAGTGTCATGTCATATGGTATGGAATATCCCTTTGGTCAGCTGGGGTCAGCTGTCCCAGCTGTGTCTCCTCCCAACTTCTTGTGCATCCTCAGCTTACTCCCTGGCAGGGTGGTGTGAGAAGCAGAAAAGGCCTTGACTCTGTGTAAGCACTGCTCAGCAGTAAGGAAAACACCTTTGCATTGTCAACACTGTTTCCAGCACAAATCCAAAACATATCTCCCCCAACTAGCTACTAGGAAGAGAATTAACCCCATCCCAGCCAAAGCCAGTGGTAATCATACAGAGAAAGCCAGCCATCTAGACAGTTCAGGTTGCTCCCTCAGAAAAAGTTTTCTTACACTCCTGCTCTCCTCTACAGGAGAAAAATAATTAGGAACCAGTTTAACTGCACTGCCAGCTGTGCCTCCACAACATGGTGGACAACTTGGAAGAGGGATATTGGTCCAGCAGGGACTAAGTACCCGAGCCTTTATATCACTCCAGAGACGAGCTCTGCAGCCTACTTTGAGTCAGTTTAACGTTAACACAGGCAATGACCAGAACAGTTTAAGTGATGCAATCCCACCTCCAAATTTCTGATTTAAGCACGATTTTTAGTGACTAATAAAAAGCCCAAAATCGGGAGGGTATGTGCATTTCGCAGGAAACGCAGGTGTCAACCACGAAAGAAAGGCAAGTGGAAGTATAAGGAAGCTCTCCTTCTGCTCTGAAAAGAGGAAATAAAGCGCGGCCGATGCTTTCCTACCCGAGCGAGAGCTGTGGAGCAGGGCGCAGGGCCGGTCCAAGCCCCCCGGCGCGGAACCACCCCCTCTCGCG